CTGCCTTTTAACAGGCAGAAATCTAGGACAGACCCTTCAGCTCTAGGTGGGTGGTTGTCTGTAAAATGAGCAATGTGGATGAATTTTGAGCAGATTACTTCCTGTAAATATTGATCAGAGATGAGTTTTCTGATAGTTGTAAAGGCCCAGGCACAAGGAAAGTAGTTGTATATGGTTTTTATACAATTCTGTCTGTATTTTATTTTATTATTATTATTATTATTATTTATGTATATTTAAGCAAACAATTTAATTTAATTTTTTTTCTTCAAAGAATTAGACAAAATGCTGAAATATAGGTCTGCTGTGTATAGTTTTAATTAAAACCTGTGACGCTTTGGCGACCCCTAATGGGGGTCTCAACCCCCAGGTCGGGAAACCACTTGTTTACAGACCTGTCAGCTAATGATTATTTTATGTATTGATTATTTTCTCGCTTGATTGATTAATCCTTTAGTCCATAAAACAGAGCAAAGAATCATTAAAACAAAAAACAACAAATGCCAGACATGGTATTCTAGAGCAGTGTTCTCAACCTGGGGTGCTTGAGGAGGTTTCAGGGGGTGCCCGGGAATATCACTATTATTTCATTAGCTAGAAGTTACCCCTGTGAGACACTGTATAAGAATGACTATTCTGTTCATAGGTTTCACACTCTTCACTGTTAATCTGCCAATCTACAGTGCACACAGTTATGGAATAGTAATGGAATTATTAGACGGGGATCCCTGAGACTGTATGTTATCAAATGTGGGTCAGCAGCCTGATGTGTATTAATTTGGGGGTCCTTGACACCAAAAAAGGGTTAAGGACCACTATTTTGGAACCCAAGGTGGCAATATTAAATTTCTTATTTTGTTCAATCTGCTGTCCAGAACCCCAAAATATTCAGTTTACTTGGGACCATCAAATGTTTAGGTTTTCAGTGAAATGATTAATCAATGATCAGAATGGTAAAAAAGAACTGCTGGCTTTGATCGTCTGACTGCTTGTTTTTCTGAGCGAGTTCATTGTTGCAATGTTGTTGTTTTACCAGATCTTTGATGGCCAAATAAGATAAAATTTGTTATCCCCTAAGTTTCATATGAATGTATTGTGATCCATGTTTATGGATTAAAAGGAGAGGCCCCCTAGCTCTGCTGGAAAACGTCTTCCTTCTTCCAGGTGGTTAGATAAATGTGTGGCTGCGTTGAACAAGTTTTGTACGTTTTTGAAACTGGCAATCCAACAGCCACACCTGCTTTCTGCAGCAAATTGTATATGTATGGTATAGGTAAAGGGTATACACAGGTGTAACTGTGGTGTAGTGTTTCTTTACCTTTAGGAAGTCTGTGTTTGAATGTGCTTTGAGTTTTAAAGCCAATAATGACGTGTAGTAACAGGAGCTCATGCAGTGCCACAGTTTGGGACAAGACAGTTAGTTTAGGGAAGTATACAGAAATGTTTCAAAAGGCTTTAAAGTCTGATTTAGGCCTGTTATAATAACTACTTTTGTCAGACAATATACTAGGGCTGCACAATGAATTGAAATATTATCGAAATCGCAATATGGCAAAGTCCAATATCCAAATCGCAGAAACTGCAATTTTTTTGATGAAGGTGAAATGTGTGATAAACAGCATTATAATGAAGTACTATAGTGCGGCAGAGATACTCTGAACTACAAATCTTCATTCTTTAACAGGCAATATAGTAACAATAGGGAATACCCTGTTCTTTATTCTGGCATCATCAGGGTTCCCATGAGTCCTGGACATTTAGAGACTAGGTTTTCAGTAATGGAAACACCAGGAAATTGACCAAATATCCTGGAAATAATCTATATCAACGTGGATTTTTTTGTATTTTAGCTCCTCACTCAGATTGCCTACGTAATCCTGTTGGTGGGTTAAACTGATTGTATCTGGTAAACCCGCTTTGAAGTGTCAAAGTGGAACTGACTTGCAGTGTTTTTTTTTTTCAAAAATATGAGGGAAATTCTCATATCTCCATGCATACAGCCTATTAATGATAACATTTCTTATTCCTGTGTTTGATAAATACATGGACAGTGATGTTAATCGTACGTACAACGAACTGCCCGAAACCACAGCTTATATGACTGTTCTGTATAATCAAGTAAAACTCCTGGAAAAAAAGAGTGGGAACCCTGCATCATTTCGGCTAAAATGATAAGTCAATATGACAACCATTACATATGGTGTATATTGTACAATATGTCGATAACGTAATTATTGTGACACACCTACTCTGATTTTGTTTGGATGTCCTTTTTGCTTGAGCTCCTTGTGATCAGGTTGCACTGGTCTGAAGCAGTGGTGATGTGTTCCTGTCACTCATGTACGTAGCAATTAGCCAACATCAAGCAGAGCGATGGACAGAAGGGACACACACACAATACCTTTTAAACAGGTTTTGTGAACTATTAGCAAATTAAGCTAGGTGGAGAAACTTGTAGACCCAGATTGCTGACTGGGCTTTTACATTACCTTCATTCATTTGGCAAATGCCTTTGTCCAAAGCACTTACGATAAGTGCATTCAACCTCCATAAGAACAAGAACAAGAGCTAGATGTCATCTCAAAGTGCATCCTTCCCAAACAAACAGCTAACAGTGTGCTGTGTCAAACTTGCTGTATCAGCTACCCTGTCTGTATTTATTGTGACAAATACTGATAGTCCTGCAGATAAGTTGATGTGGGTGAGAATGGGGTATGCAGATCTACTGAGGATTATTTAATATATTCTAATTGATCAGGACTTGTTTTGATTTATGCATGTACTTTAACTGTGAAATAGTTCCCATGAGTCTATGGGTGATGAAATCGAAGCGTGATTGAGGGCAAACTTTGTCAATTACAAACGCAAATATCATATCTTCTCCTTTGGAATGTAGTAAAATGTAGGCTACACCCTAGAGCCTCACACAAACTCAAGTGGTGTAGAAGTTAAATGTATGCTAATAGAGTGCTGCAGAGATTAAGTATTTTTGTAGTCCAATGCAGAAGCCAATGGGATTTCTCCATGGATTTTGGATGATTGCAGAAAATAAGCACTGTGGGGATCAGTTTATTAATGAACTACACCACAGTCGCATGATGTCGCTTGTAATTAATTCTTGTCATAAAAATCTACAAGTTGTGGAGTTTGAGTTAGAATAGTTTGCAAAAGTATAAACACAGTGAGGCTGTAAAGGTGGACTAGTGAGTAGATCAGTCTCACCAAAAACCTCTATAGTCTCATTTAGCCACACGTAAAAGCTTCAGAATTCACAGGTGGCGTATTGACGGACGTATTTTATGTCATAGAACACAACATAAAAAAATATCTTAACCACAGACCTTATTTCAGGCATCTTACCAAAAATCCATTTAAAAAACCCACTGACTTACCCTTTTAGCTTTTAGCTGTTTTTAGCTGTTTTATCACAGTAAAACAATGTAAAACAATATAGATTTTTCTGTATAAAAATAAACATAAGATAAATTAATGAATTATTATGACATTTCAGTGGATAACTTCAATAAACCTTTGCCAAAAAAGTATAAAAGAGAAGGCCAAGATTACAGTGATCGCAGAAGGATTTTGGATTTCAAATATCTAATCAAAAATCTTATAGTTGCTCGTATTCAGTGCCTGTTTCAAGCACAATTGTGTCCCTTATATTTACCTTAAAGAGAAGAATTGGCTCAAAAAGGTTTTAAACCCTAAAAACCAACCCAGTCAGGGTTACACGTCCTGCAAAACATGTGGAAACCTGGAAATTGATTCAAATGACCCAATATCCTGGAAATAAAACTGTTTTAGCCCCTCACTCAGATCTATGTCTCAGATTGCCTACATATTTTGGTAGGAGAACCTGCATGGTGTGACACTTCAAAGTGGGTTGATCAGGTGTGGAACAAACTTGCAGCAATCTTTTCTGCGTTGAGTCAGTTTTTTCCTGAGATGTGAGCAGAATTCTCACGAAAGCCCAGTGCAAAAACTTCTTGTCATTGTGGTTAATAAATACATGAACAGCAATTCTACTATTAAATGTCTTTTAATAGGCTAATAGGTGAGAAGATAAATATATTCAGTAAAATTAAATCACTTCTACTTATGTGGCCAAAGTCATGTTACAGGTAGAGGAAAACTAGTAAAATGTTGTCCGTTCACTGGAGAGCATGCAGCTGAAAAATGTGGTAACCAAGCGAATAAATGTGTCCCATGAACACTGACCACCTGCCTGTAATGAACCTCAGCCACTTCATGTTAAATTCTTCCTCAACAATCATCATCATCATTCAAATTAGTAATTGTTTTTATTTTAATGACTGATTAATCGATTTTTATTTTGTTTTTAAAAGTAGCATAAATGGAACTACAATAAATTAACCTTGAATCCTTCAAAACTAGGCCTACTGGTAAATTATACTGTTTGTGAGCAAGTGCTGTCCTGTATTGTCAAGAAAACTCCTGGAAAATGATTTTTTAAAAAGAGTGGGAACCCTGAAGAGTTTGAGTCCTGGTCATGAGCTTCACTTTGAGTGAAGATATTCACCTTTAACACTCATGTTGTTTCTAGGGGGCAGTGACGACACGTGGACAGAGTCTGAGGAGGTTCCAGAGGATGACAGCGCAGCCAGGTAATCAAATCACTGGAACTAGATTAGACTACAGTAAACATCAGACTCTGTGGGATGAATATTTGTGTGACACTAACCACTTGTGACAACAATAAAACACAACAATGAATGACCTCAGTGGAAGTGTTAAAATGTGCCTAGAAAAAGTTAATTTGTATATATTATATTTCCCTCTCCCTCCTCTGCAGGAACGGGGACTCCCAGCTCTTCGACAAGGTTCGAGGCCACGACATTAAACTGCTACGTTACCTCTCGGTTCGCTACATCTGTGACCTAATGGTGGAGAACAAGAAGGTTAAGTTTGGCCTAAAGTAAGGAACAGCACGGACTAGTTCATCCACACATTATCTAGGTCACTGTTTCCACTGGGCTGTGGAGGGAGAAACCTTTTGGGAGGCATCTGACTATTGACTCTGTGTATTTGTGTCAGGCTCTGGGTTTACGCAGATTCTGCTGTGAATTGAGTTAGATTGCGTGTATGCGGCGTGCTGTACACGTCAGGTGGTTGATTAATGGATATTGTTGTGGGTCGGGTGGTGAGGATTGATTTGATTTTTAAACTTATCTGTATCAGCTATGTTCAGTTTTATTGACCCGATCCGATCCTTTGTTTTACATCAGCTGTCACGCAGCTGTTTTTACCAGGGATGCCCCTGTGAAGAGTCTTTCATTAATCTGATAGTCGCAAAAAACATAAAGGGGCCCAGCGACTCACAGCTTCAACAGAGGCCAGTTGATTTATAGCGGCTCCAACCAGGAGTATTGTGGGGATGAAGATGCGGCAGGTTCTGTCATAGTTTAACACTGCTTTACATTTAGTTAAGTTTTATCCAGCTCTGTGTATGTAGAGCGTTGTAATCGTCGTCACATCATTCTTGGTATTTCAGGGGCTACTGATAATGGCTGTTACCTGTGGAACGTACAGGTGCTGTTTTGGACTATATTTAACTATCAAAAGAGCAGGTAACATAGCGACACACACTAAACAAGGATGTAAGAGATAGCATTGAGTAATGCTAATGCTCGAAAGGCTGGAAACTGGCACTGGTATATGGTATACAATACATATTACGAAATAATGAATAAATTACTGCTATAGCTGTGATAAACCACTCTAGCCAATCAAAGGGCACTGTATTTATTATAAGTGCTGTGTATTAAACAATACTGCCCATGAATGCTCAGTGTATCTCATTTTGCTCATCACGTCTTTCTTTCCGTCTCTGCAGTGTGACATCCTCTGAGAAGGCGGACAAGGCCCAACGCTATGCAGACTTCACCTTGCTCTCCGTGCCTTACCCTGGTAAACATTCTCAGTCACTCTATGTCAGGGACCAGACAGTCAAGCAATGAGGAGAACAG